AATGCTGCATAAAGAAGTTCAGTGCGTACATTTTATGTCAACATCTCTTGTACTTTACCCTTGTGCGAACTCTCTGAAAAGATCCCCCCATACTTCGATAGGACGTCCCGGTTTAGGTCTGTTTTAAGTCTCTTGTGGGTTTTCTGCTGGTGTGGAAAGAATATCTCTGTTCTGTGTCAAAACATTATTAACTTCATCAGAAAATGGAATCCTGTTGTCAAGCCACGAGTTATTTTCTTTAGAAACCCGGAAACACGTGTTTACGTTCTTATAATGTTCTTGGCGAATGTTGTGGTTAGGTATGTCACAAAATAACGTTTACACAACCTTGTATGAACGTGCAAACGTTGTGAAATTAATTATGTTCAGTATGTATTTATGGTTCTACAAAATAAAGTTTTCAAAACAAAACTGTAACGTTATTGTCACGTTAGCATAACGTATTATTGTTTGCTGGGAAGGTCGTTAGTACTCGCGTAGTAGCTCACCTCTCCTTAAGTTGAAACGTAACAGGAAGCTTTTCAAAGTCTTGGATGTGTTTGAATAAAGTTAAAAACAATTGACGCCTAGATATAGGCCTGCTTGTAGATATCATCTTCATTATGATATATGATATTTGGATTATTAGACTGCTCAAAATTTAATTCTAAATAAAAAGTACTCTAAACAGCAACAACATATTAGAAGATTTGCTACTGTTAAATCACGAGCAGTTTGTCAATTTTTGAAGTGCTTTTACCACGCTTTGCATGAACTGGTTGAATAGACGCGCGTACATCCCTCTGATTTGCGGTTTGCTCTAATTAAATTGTGTCTCAAATGTTCAAAAACAAGACAGATAAAAGTGCGTCTAGCTCGCAAAGTTGCAAAAAGTAGCAGCTAAATTTGGTACCATATTAAAGCTAAGGCTATACTGAAGATGGTGATGTAAAAATTAAAGCATGAATCCACATGAATCTAAACTTTCTCTCCTACTTTTCTAAAAATAGATTTTTAAATATTTTTTCTGTCGTTTAAACAACGATTTATTATTGATGCAAACTTCAAATTTAAACCAAAACATATATTTGTATTCCCCAATTTATATACAAGAAACCTGTGCATTTTGAAGTAATTTCGAATTTCTGTAAGAAAAAAAACGTGTTTAGATTTAATGTAGTCAATTATAGCATTTGAAATATTTATAGAGAAATTTCCGACATTTGTTGAAAAATACTACCCTTAAAATTCGTTTAAATGTAAAATATTTTCAGGATAGATTCACCAGGGTATACCCATCTTCAATCATGTGAAAAAAAGTGTAAAAGCCATAGTCACCAAAATGGACTTTTGGCACACTTTGATTTCGCCCTGGCCCACTGTGCGGCGTCGCCAAGCACTTCCAAAAAGCGGAGATTGATTTGTGGGAAGGCGGCGGCAGTACAACGGTCGTACGACGCAATGTGTTAAAATGATTACTGGATTTCGTTGACACTATACTGTATGTCTCTGGATAGTTCTTAGATCGATATATAATTCTATTAAAAAATCCCCCTAAATTTATAAAGTTATTTTGTGTAGGATGGATGGACTTTTATGTATTCTGCCGATAAGAAACCAACTATGTTTTATTCTACAAATGACATATGAAGAATATATTCAAAAAAGCTTAAAATCATTACATCAATATAAACAAAATTCATATTCAGTAGGCTATATCAAAAGCACAAAATATTCAGGATCTGATGGCATAGACCTATTGTCTTTTTCTTCTGATTTTTGTCAGTGTTTTCTTCCGCCATATTTGAATTTGCGATAAGTCTGCATAATATTCAGGGGGAAGCTACTGCTTGAAAGTACAGTATCTTAATTCTTTTCCGTGCTTATTCCGTTTTCAATCCAGGCAAAACTTGTTCAAATTGCTACGTTTGTCTGTGGAATGAGATCAATTATCAATAATCATTATTGTAATCATCACCTTCATCCTAATCCTCATCACTAACATTATCATCACCATCATAATCACCATCATTATCATAGTCATTTCCATCATCTTCATCGTAATTGCTCATCATACTCCTCCTCCTTAAAATGGTAACCATCATCAATATCAATAATTATGATAATGATAATCATCCTCATCCCCATCACCACCATCATCATAATTATAATCATCCTCCTCCTCCTCCTCATCATCATCATCAGATCGTGATCATGATCATCATGATCATCATCATTATCGCCATCACCTTCATTATTTTCTTCATCATACACCTCGTCGTCGTTGTCCTACTCGTTCTCTTGCTCATCATCATAATCATAATTAATTTAAACATAATCGTTATCTTCACCAGAATACTTGTTACAATGCGTCAAATAGCCTATATTACACAAACAAACATACTTACTAAAAATATTCGTGAGTTAATCTATACTGGGCAGTCTCATCGTCTTGCTCGTAACTGAAATGCGCTCGTGGCACTGCCACAGACCGCAAAGCTCTACTGTACGCCTCGTGCGCAGCAACAGAATCTGTGTCCTACACGCAAACAGAAAATATTTACCAGTATTATTCGAAGTCAAGTACTGTTATCAAGAACGTGTACACTACTCTCATTGTATAACACATACAAGCATACAAAACCCTTTTTCCTTTGTTTGATACCACCATCTGTTGAAAAAATTTTTCGAATTTATTCTTGTTTTTAAAATAGAAAACATAAACTACTGTAGAAACTTCAAATAGAATACCTCAGAATCAAGTATTTCTGCCTCTTGTCCAGTAACAACGTAAGGCGTTATAAACTCTCCCTGGATATCCGATGACACTGAATACTCCTGCAGCATGCTAGCTCTCATGCGCTCCTATATACGAAAGTGCAAGTAAACCAAATGGATCATTATTTTTCTATCAAATGTGTTACATCGGTTTCCGTTGGTTAGAGATTGATAATAAAATTACAATCATTGCTTATTTCAATTGGTGGGCCAGAATTTGAAAAAAAATAACCCGTTCGCGAAACGTAGTGTAAGTGAAAATTTATTGTGCATACTTTCGTATAGAATCAACAAAATGAAAAAAAAAATAGACCTTTTTTTAAATGTTTAAATAAGATTTAGTTGATAAAAATATTTATTAATATTATTAACACTCGCCATTAATTGGTTTGAAAAATATCTTCTTCAGTTGATTTAATGTAAAATATTTATCTATTCAAGTCATATTTTGTCAGGGTTCAAAATCATGGTAATTGATTTGAGGAGGCCACTCTACAAAATGCAGTCTTTAAAATATAAATGATTGAGTATGATGAAAAGAGACTGTCACGACTAGCAGGCCCGAAGACTAGACGCATGGCCCGTAGGTCTATATCGACCCATACAGTTCTTGTAATTTTTCGTATATTTGAATACATGAATACAAGTCCACAGACCTACTACAAAGTCAAAATAATTTCTTGATCGGGGTTTTAAGGGGGATAATTTTTTTTTTTAAATGACGACAACTACACAATATATAGTTGTATGTTAATGCATTGGCCAGAACATGCTTGTTTAGTCACCATCAATATTTAGCATCCACCGTTGAAGTAAAAAAATAGACAGTATCTATTGTTACACCAACATTCTGATGTGATGTATAGGGACCGACCCACGTGACCTATTGAAACCTAGTGGTTGTCTTTGAAATACACATTTAATAAAATTATTAAAACTGAGAATAAAATTATAGATATGAAGCTTACGTTTATGAAGGGAGACTTTCGTATTACGTTGACTAGATGCCGCATTCTCTCATCGTCTGTAGTGCTAGCGATATCGGACCAATTAGACCTGTCACTTCCATGAGTCCGTACACTTCCACTTGTACTAGCGACAGACGATGCATCGTCACCGTAACGGTAGTTATGCACTGCTTGTCTGAACGGTGATTTCTTACGTCTACTTGTACGAACCCGACGGACCATGAAGTAATAAATTGTCATTCCGATAAGAATGATGACGAGAAGAGCACACGTGATGCTTAGTACGATAATGAGTACAGGCGCGTCGTCTGGTAGTGGTGGCTTGGATTCTGTTATAATAATATTAGATAGGTAATGGGGAACCATGTAATTAGGTCTAAAAAAATCACGGGCCTAAAATGAGTAAACGTGTAAATGTATACTGTATGCATAAGCTAGAGCAGGGGCGTAGACAATGGAGCAGAGGGTTT